GGCATGGTTGACTCTTAACTTTTATAAAGAATATCTCTTTGGATTTGAGACTTTAGTCTTTGCAACTTTACAGATCTTCTTTATGCACCAAGAGCTTGTAACACTCCAAAGAGAAAGGAAAAATTGAAATCGCATCATATGACCCCTTTAAAAGTTTGGCGTCACTAAGATTTTTTTAAAGTAAACAAATACTTGTATTCAATTATGCATAAAATTGATCAAAAGTGTCAGTAAATACATTTATAAAGACATTTATAATGTTACAAAAGATTTCTAGCTAATAAATGCTGTTATTCTGAATGTCCTATCAGAATGTTCTCATCAGGGAATCCTGAAAAAAATTATCATGGTTTCCACAAAAATATTAAGCACCAAATCAGCATATTAGAAGGATTTCTGAAGGATCATGTTACACTAAAGACTGGTGTAAGGATGCTGAAAATACAACTTTGTTTCACAGGAATAAATTACATTTTAAAATATATTCTAAATATATTCCAAATTGTAATATTCTAAATATTTAAATTGTAATAATATTTTACAATATGACAATTTTTACTGTATTTTTGATCAAATAAATAAATGCAGCCTTGGTGAGCATAAGAAATTCATTTTTTTCCCCCACAAAAATAGATGTTTAGCAGAATGTTTAAGCTTCTGTTTTCCATACAGTAAAAGTGAACAGCAGCTTGGGCTGTCATGCTCCGATAAGAACCAAAAAGTAATCCACTTGTGTTCCATCTAATACAATTACAATTGTGAGGAATGAACCAACATTTTTATATAATAACTGTAGCTAGTCATGTTTTTTTATTGTGCGTCAGTGACAGTTATAACGGATATGGGCTGTTTCCAAAACCTGAATGGAGGAAGTGTGGCATCAAGGTACCTCTGAATGTTATGTTTCCATAACATTCCATCATACCTTCATCTGGTGATATACCACAAACATATGCCTTATCTGTTGGTGGAAGGAATAAAAATGGCAAATTTTGAATGTCTTAGCACATTAGACATGATGTTATGTGCATTACAGGCCTGTTTCCTTTGGAGGTACCTTCATAAAGTCATTGATTTCCAATTCAGACACAGCTATGCCACATGTATTTAAATATGAGGGAATTTACATGACATACATTCTACAAGGCTCAGGGATTGTGAATAATCAAATGAGGGGGGAAGCCCAAGTTCTAAATTCAGTATGAGGCAGAGTATTTCCCAGAGACGTCTTTTATTCCTGTGGAATTATGACAGTCCATTATCACATTATACAAATCAGTGACGCAGTGGAATGGAGGAGAACACCTCACACTGTTGAACAGGTTTCACTTGACTTGTCTCACGTCAGAGGCGCTTTTGTTGAACCGCGAGAGTCCTTTGTGTTTTGTTTAAGCATAAATAAAGGTAATAGGCCTCAAAAGATCACTTGTTACACATTTGTGTCAGAAATTGTTACAATGTTCATAATCCTAAAACTTCTTTTGAATGGTTTTAGGAATGTTTTGAATATAAAATTTAGACTTATTTATTTGTCTCTGTAGAGAGGACATGGTCACCAATCTGGACAACAGTGTCTGTTTTAGGAGGTGAGTTGAATTCACATGTTTAGGAATGTCCTGGAATATTTGATTCTGATTGGTCAATTGTTATATTCTGTGGTCAAATATTGTTTTATAATGAACTTTAAATTGAAACTGGTTGTCCAGTGCAATCATTATCTATTATTAGTAAAGTGAAACTGGTTATTCATCTTGATTATTCATTCTAATTCCAAGAGCTTCATTAATTACTCCAATACAATGCGTGTGTGTGTGTGTGTGTGCGCGCAGTTCTATGCCATGTCTGATCCGGCTGTGGTTAGACGAGTATCAAGAGGACCTTCGGGACTCTCCAGATCACCAGGCTCTTCGGCTGCTCTGTGCTCATCTGCATCATCGCCTTTGTTTCAGACGTCTGGCTCATCAAGCCGATGCTCTTCTCAGAAAATTTCAGACTGAAGGCAAGTCTTGAAATATGGCTAATTTAGCTTTTATGCACACACACCAAAAAAATCTACGCTAAATAACAGACAAACACACAGGTACATCAGCAGAAGCCAGCACAGCTGCTGTAGAGAATCGGGCAACTGAAGACATCACGGACAGACAGGACATAGAAGAGATGGGGGATGTACTGGGCTTCCCTGCACGAGACATTGCTGAGCAGCTCACGCTCTTAGATGCTGTAGGTGTCAAGATTTACATACTGAGGCTGGTTTTTATTTATGGCTTACTTTTATTCATCTGCTTCCATTTCTTTCTCAGGAACTCTTTGTCAAAGTGGTTCCATTTCACTGCCTTGGCTGCATTTGGTCTCAAAGGGACAAGAAAGAGAATCGGAATCTAGCACCCACGGTTCGTGCTACCATTGCCCAGTTCAATGCCGTCACTAACTGCGTTATCACCTCTCTGCTGTGCCCTCCTTCCACATCCCCTCCCGGTTCCCCATCCTGCACTCGTAGCGGCCCTACACACAGGGCAAAGATTATTGAGAAGTGGATCTCTGTAGCTCAGGTGCGTATGAGGCCCGAAACATTCTAAAAAAATTTGATTCTGAAATATGTCAGAGCACAATTCATAATGGAAGTACGTGTTGCACTTGTGCAGTTCTCAGCATGGCCACAAGGAGCACTATAATAGATGGAATACTCTGCTCAAGTTTTCTTTTTCAGGTCAATTACTGTTGTGACAGAGCAACATTTTGCAAACAATTTTGCTGAGCAAATTAAGATAATTAAACTGTTGATGTTTATGTCTAACTACTACTATCAGTTTTAATGGTACAGATGTTTAAAGATTTCCTTATCACTTTGTGTTGTTACATATTTGATCCAGTGTAAATTTGTGAAGTTAATATTTCTTTCCTCTTCTTAAACCAAAGGCATTATATTTTTTATAATTTTTTGGATTACAGGAGTGCCGTCAGTTGAGAAACTTCTCCTCTCTGAGAGCCATCTTATCTGCTCTTCAGTGCAATGCTGTTTACCGGCTAAAGAAAACCTGGGCGGCAATCAGCAGGTAGTGCTTTCTGATCCTGACATGAATAGTTTCTAAACCTGTAGTGCACATATTAAATTTGCACAACACATGGTATTAAATTTAAATGGATAATATATGTAATTTCAGGGAGAGTATGGCTGCCTTCAATCTCCTGTGCGACACATTTCCTGATGAGAACTGTGTGCTGGTCAATCGAGAGATACTTGTAGAGGTATGCTTCACAGATTTGCCTGCATGTTTTTTATGTTAAAATTATGTAAGATTTTAATGTTTTTGATAGAAGTCTCTTATGCCCACTAAGGGTGTATTCACACCTGTCTTGTTTGGTTCGATTGAATCGAACTCAAATTCGTTTCCCCCTTTGGTGCGGATCTTTTGGGCAGGTGTGAATACAGCAATCGCACTCTGGTGCACACCAAACAACCGTACCGGGTAAACAGCTGCTGGCTTGTTGACCCAAACGAACCGCGGTTCGGACCCAAATAAAATAATATGAACGCAGTCCGGCAGGGGGAGGGGGGAGCAATCGAACTCTGGTTCGGACCAGGCAAGCAAACCAAGTGTGAAAGCACCCTTAGGCTGCATTTATGTAATCAAAAATACAGTATAATTGTGAAATATTATTACAATTTAAAATGCTGTTGATTTTGAATGAACCAATGAATGGATGACCTTAAGCACATGAGTGGTTTTGTTTACAGTTTCTGGTTTACTTGCTAAAAGGGCAATGTGAAAGCGAACCGCACCAAACAAAAATAATCAACATTGTATTTGGTCCGGACCAAAGCAAGTGAACTAGCGGACTTTCCTGGTGTGAATACACCCTAAGGGTGCATTCACACTTGTCATGTTTGGTTCGATTAAAACGAACCCTGGTGCGATTGCTGTTTAGCACTTTTGGTGCGCACCCGCAAACCGTACCCGAGTCTGCTTAAAAAGGGTGGTCTGGGGTACGGTTCATGTGAATTCCGGTACGGTTCACTGTTGATGTGAACGCAATCGTACCAAATCACGGAAGTAAACCGCTTTTAATGACATATTATTTGATTAAAATGTGTGTTTGTGTGTGTTTCACTCACTTTCCTGACGAGCGTGACTGACGCGGTGCAAGCAGAGAGCTGTATATCTAATTTCTGTTCGCCTTCATCTTTCTTTAGAGCATTTGCAGTACATTCGTAAGACAGACGTAAGTGCCGTTATGTACCGAAGCTTTGTAAACAAAACGAACGGTCTAAGCAACGGGGTAAACAGCTGCTGGCTTGTTGACCCAAACGAACTGCGGTTCGGACCCAAATAAAATAATATGAACGCAGTCCGGCAGGGGGAGGGGGGAGCAATCGAACTCTGGTTCGGACCAGGCAAGCAAACCAAGTGTGAAAGCACCCTTAGGCTGCATTTATGTAATCAAAAATACAGTATAATTGTGAAATATTATTACAATTTAAAATGCTGTTGATTTGAATATATTTCAAAATGTAATTTAGTAAAAGTTATAAAATACACATTTTTTTTCAGGATTCTTTGATTAATAGAAAGTTCAAAAGAAAAGCATTTATCTGAAATAGAAACATTGCAACTTTATAACATTATAAATATCTTTACTATCACTTTTGACCAATTTAAGACCTCCTTGCTGAATAAAAGTATTTTTCTTTCAAAAGAAAAAAGACTTCCATCAATATCTAACACTTTGGCCTGCAATGTGCAAACAGATGCCTCTAATGTTTTAACATTATATGTAAGCGCCGATAGCGGTGTTGAATCTCTGATAAGATCATGACATTATCTCATCCCATGGCTGCTTTTATGTCCTTTTTACTATCTTAAAAGACACTACCAGGCAACATTCAATATTTTCCACACCCTATTTCACTTTAGCTCACATACAAAGAGTAAGTCAGTAGGGCTGAGGTTAAAAAATGAATCATCTTGTTGGCAAGGAAACCATTATGGAGGCACAACATCCCGTAATGTCCTGCAGTGTTTAGTATCCAGTGTATAACAACAAAACATTCATTGTTTTTATCTGTGCCGGCTCATAATAATAGTCTCTCCCATTCCTCCTTCCTCAATCTTTTATTATGTTCTGTTAAGTAATTGTTCTTATCTTGTATTGTGGCATTACTTTGGGTGTGGGAGATTGATTTTGAATGTTTTCTAAAGTGATTTATGTAAATGTTTCTCTAGGCCAGTTGTTTCAGTGTATCTAATACTCTGTATTCAATCATATGTTTATCAAAATCAGTTTCACTGTTTGCATTTTAGTATGCCAAATGTCATGTTATCTATTTTTTGTGATTGATTTAGGAAGGAAACCAGGCAGCTGATGTAGACACTCACACCGCTTCGAAGTCTCCCAGACTCAGTCCTACATCTAAGCACATGGTAAGATTCACTATTATTTGTCATAATAACAAGGCCCTGCTGAAAGTAGTACATTTGGCTTATTTAAGGCCACTGTCATAAGTTGCTTTTAAAAATATTATTAAGCTGTTGTTTCTGGGAAATAACTGCCCTTTTTGGGAAGTATGCATCTGCACTGGCTCATTTGCTTGCTGGTCTAGTTTGACTCAAGTAATTTAATTTTCGATATGAAAATCTGTCTAAATCTGAATCTGCCAACTCCTTAATTAAAAGACCCAAAAAGGTATTACCATAATGCTAGCTGACACAGTATGATGGGGTTGCTTGTATCACCAGTAAAGATGCATCAACAGCGTGTTCCTCTAACTGAGATATTTATGCTCAGCATAAATCACTTTTAGCTTTTTTGGAAAAGATGTGTGTGCTTAAAAGAGGAAGCTTTTAATTGAAGTATGTGTGTGGATTTTGTGTTTCAGTTGAAATATATATTTCTGTTCAAAAGTCAGTAAATGTTTTGAAAGAAATTAATACTTTTATTCAGCAAGGATGCATTATGTTGACCAAAAGTGACAATAAAAACTTTCAAATTATTCTATTTCAAATTAATGCTGTTCTTTTGAGCTTTCAATGTATCAAAAAAATCCACAAAAAAATCCACATTTCCACAAATATTGACAATAATGAGAAACAACATTCATAATAAGAAATGTTTCTTGAGCAGTGTTGGGCAGTAACGCATTACTTAGTAACGCGTTACTGTAATTTGATTACGTTTTTAGTAACGGAGTAATTTAAAAATGTAACGCGTTATAATTTTCAAAATAGTAATTAGAGTATAGTTACAAGCCGAGGTCTCTATACGTTACTGCCGCGTTACATTGCTGACAGAATGCAGTGTTTTATAATCTAGAGACCTAAAAAGGATGTAGCACAGGCACTGTCGAGTCAAGTGCCAGTGGATTAGAGACCTGCTCCCGCGAGACCCGACGCGACAGAGTGCGGCGCGGGACAAGACTTGATAGGCGAGTGCAGACTCGTGTGTGTGCGGGATGCGGGAGAATAAAATGATTCACGGGACTCCCGCAAAATAGAAATATCTAAACATAAAAATATCTAAAACAAATAAATTGTTATTCATCTATTGCACAAAAGCTACATGAACTAATATAAAATATAAACGATTAACAGGTGCAAGTAATGTAACTAATTACTAATTACTTTTGAAATAAAGTAATCAGAACAGTAATGTGATTACTTTTAAAATGAGTAATCAGTAATCAGTAATTTGATTACATTTTCGGAGTAATTTGCCCAACACTGTTCTTGAGCACCACATCGGCATATATTTTTGGAAGACTGGAGTAACGGATCATATGAACAATGCCATCACATGAACAAATTACATTTAAAAAATATATTAGAATAGAGAACCGTTCTTTTAAATTGTAATAATATTTAACAATATGACTGATTTTACTGTATTTTTTTTAATCATGTAAATTCAGCCTTGGTGAGCATAAGAGACAAAAACATTAAAAAATCTTGACCGACCCCAAACTGTTACTGTATTTTTGCCTGACAAGTTTGTTTTTCTGACAGACCCCCTCCAGTGGTGAGGTGCCGTACCTGGGCACTTATCTGACCGTTCTCACCATGTTGGACACAGCACTAAGTGACAATGTAGAGGTGAGAATTTTTTTCTGACCTTAATTCATGTCATATACATAGTAGTTTTTTTTTTTTTTCAGTTCCCACACTGACGTTTCTTTGTTTAAATGATAAACTCTCTTCTGTGTGCTCACAGGGGGGTCTCATCAACTTTGAGAAGCGCAGAAAAGTAAGTACAATCACTGTAGCCTTCATATTGTTTCAATGAAAAGAAGCTCACTAGGTTTTATACCAAATGCTAGTGTGTCAAGAGTGCTGACGTGTGTTTCTCCATTCCTTTCTGCGTTCAGGAGTTTGAGATTCTGTCTCAGATCAGGCAGCTGCAGGCGTCATGTGCTCAGTACAATCTCCAATCACATCCTCGCATCATTTCCTGGATCAACACCAGCATACCTCTTTCTGATCAGAAGAGGTGAGACACCTCTTGCACATTTTGATGATTATATTCAGTTTGATCAATTTCCTGCTAACAATGTTGGTTGAAATGAAAAGAAATATGAATTCGTGGCAGTGGTACTTTGGGAACTTCAGAATATCAGCATCTCAGATATTTAGATATCAACTGTTAGTCTTTCTTTCTCATTAGCTATGAGTTGTCAAGAGAACTGGAGCCACCAGTTGACCCCTGTCCCAGCTCTCCCAACCCCTGGAGCCACCGGCTCATCACCAAGAAACTGACCTCGTGAGTGTTGTTTTGAGATGCAGTTTCAACGCAATTTGTGGACCCAGACTATTCTAAAAGTAAAAAGACATTTTGCTAACTTGTGTTTCTGTGACATATGTTTCTCTTCTGCTCACTGCAGATTGCTGTCTGGCAGTGAGAACCTCTCAAAGAAGACTTTTGCTGATCAGATCAGTGTATCATCCTCTGGCTCCAGTGGCTCAGAGATGGAAGATCTCAGCAGCCCCAACCTCTCACCACTTAGATACAAAATACAGGTAACAAAACTGTAGACCAGAGCTGCAGACCTTTTTGTTATTTACTACCTCATATACTCTTATAGATGTTACAATATTTTGTTCTTTTAAAAAAAGTTTAGGCTGTCAATCGAATAAAGTATTTATTCAAATTAATTATGATATGATTAATCCATCAGCAGAACATAATGACTTATATTTGCTGAGACATTACATTATATAAAGCAAAACAATTGACAAAAAATGTCAGTATATTTATGGCTTTATTTCTATATTGTCCATAAGTCCAATTTGCAATCATTTTGATTTTGTCAATATGTCTGACGCAGCTGTAGGAGCTGTTCACACAGACTTCATTCTCAGATTCAGTGTTGTTATTATTTACTAAAACTGTAAAAAAAAAAAAAAAAGTTATTTTGGTAATTGAAATGAAGCAAAAAAAATAAATACATTTAATATTTGATGAAGAACTTAAAAACATTATTTCATTTGTTCATGTTTTTGTATTAAACTACTAAAAAGTACTTTTAAGTACTAAAACTGAAATAAGGCTATATAGAAATATAAAAAAATGACAAAAGCAAAATTGCTAAAACTTAAAACTAAAATTAAAATGAAAACTGAAAATATAAAAATAAAAGTTAATTAAAAATATTAATAAATACTGTAATAGTATATAAATAATACTAAAATAACACTGATGTACACCTGCATCAGACTTTAGTCAGTCTTTAGCTGTTGCATGACATCTTGCTGTGTTTTCAGTGTCTTTCAGTGCGGCAGCGGGTTTAATTAAATGTTACTTTTGTTTATTGCATTATTAATTTGTAATCAATTGTACTAAATCAATAGGCCTAAATCTGACAGGTCTAATATTATCTCTAAACCTATTTTGACTATTTGTTTTTACTGAGGCCTTTGGGTTATTAAAATCCATTCGGTTGTTTGTGACTTGTTTGTTTCACCTTAACCTTGCAGTCACAAAGTAGTTCATGTTTGCACAATTAACACAGAGCTTCAGTTAAGTTGACAGAACACAGTGTATTAGATGACAATACCGCCAGTCGGTGATGTTTTACATTCGACACATCATTTACCAAAGTATTTATTGCTTGCAATCTGTGTTGCTGAACACCTAAAAGAAATATACTTATGAAAGATTAAGCTATCTGATACACTTCATATGGTCAGTTGCCACTTAAATTATATATGAAAAACCCGTGCTATGCTCTTAACAGAATTCTTACAGATAATTAGGTTTGTTGAGGTAAATAGTCTTTCTCCATTCCCTCATTCACAGTCACCATCCGTATCCTGTCAGGACACCTCAGTAGACACACCCAGCTCCTCTCCGACTCCGCCCAGCTCTTTTCGAAGATGCCTACAGACGGATCTGTCTGCCCTGAACCCCGACAGCCCCTCCCCTACTTCATCTGCATCATCTTCATCATCCTCTCCTTCTCTCAAACATCCCATGTACAACAAGCAGGTCGCCGATTCTTGTATTGTCAGAGTCAGTGTGGAATTTGGCAACAACGGAAATGTTTATAAAAGTATTTTGGTAAGTTGGCTTTAATATTTGGTGATTTCTGTGGTGTTCATGCTTCATGTCTTTTTTTTTTTCTTTTTTTTCTTTTATTTTACATCTTTCTAGTGGCAATGAGTCTGTGGCTTTCTACTCAGTTGTCAACCCCAGCAAATCTAAAGTCTTGAAACTTTATCATCTCTTTATTTTTAGATAACCAGTCAAGACAAGACAGCTCAGGTGATTCAGAGAGCTCTGGAGAAACACAACTTGGAGGAGATGAACTGCCAAGACTTTAGTCTCACACAAGTGGTTTCTAATGACAAAGGTGAGCTTCTTGATTCTGTGTATGACCTTAAAAAACACTGAAACTCAAATTAATTTCAAGTGTTATTTTAGTATTATTTATATACTATTAATATATTTGTTAATACTTTAAATTATGTTTTATTTTTGTTATTTTGTTATATGCGTTTGTCATTTTTATTAGTTTTTA